GGCGAGGGAGGGCCCGGCCGGGGCGCGGATGCCGGGCGGCTGCGCGCACGGGGAGCTGCGCGTCCGCTCCTCCCCGCCGCGGCCACCATGGCCAGTGGCAGGCGCCAGGGCTGCGAGGACGAGGAAACTCTGAAGAAGTTGCTCGTCAGGCTGAACAATGTGCAGGAAGGGAAGCAGATAGACACGCTGGTGCAGACCCTGGAGGACTTGCTGGTGTTCACCTTCTCCGAGCGCGGTAGGCGGCGGGCCGCGTCCGCGCGCGCGCACCCTCCTGCCCCGCGGTCCGTCCGCCCGGACGCGCCGCCGCCGCCCCCTGCGCCTCCCCGGGGCCAAGGGGGCGCTCACCTCCGCGGCCTTTCCGCACCGCGCGGGGGTGCTTGCTGTGGATGGTGACTCTGCTTCTTTTCCTCCACCCCTTGTTTTCCAGCCTCCAACTTGTTTGAAGGCAAAAACTTCCACGTGCCTCTGCTGATCGTCCTGGACTCCTACATGAGAGTGGCCAGCGTGCAGCAGGTAACGGAGCGGTTGGCGCAGCTCGCCGTGCCCCTCCTGTCGGTGAAGCCAGGCCGTCCGTCCGTCCGGGCAGACGTGCCTGGAGTTGCCGGTCACTTTCTTGAGATTTGCTCTGGCCAGCCGCTGACTGGGCTTTTAGGATGGCAGCCTCATCACTAGGCGGTGTTAATAGAGTAAAAGCGCCCACTACGGGGTCCCTTGCCTTTACAAGTCGCTTTATAAGCCTGGCTGAGAATTTGCACAATGGTGGGAGCAGAGTAAAAATAGGCTGAGGTTCAGTTCTGTTATTGGCAGAATGAGTTCATTAGTGGTTAGGGCCAGCTATTCCAAGAATCTTCCCAATGTGCAGCGTGGCCTACATAGCGCACTGCTGTGGAGTTTGGGGAAGGGGAGTGCTTAGCAGTGCCGGAACACGATGAAGTCACTGGCAAACTCTCCTAGCTTTCAGCCTCATGGTGTTCGAAGACAGATGCTAACCTTGTTCAACTGTACTATACCTTGCAGCATAATCTAAAAGGAGTGATGCCGAGGGTTCCCCTTGGGTTCAGATGTTTGCTTTGCCACAGTGTATTATGAATGTAAAAGTGTAAATCCACACACAGTCCAGAAATGTGTAAAATTCCGTGGTTATATTTAAAAAGCAGTGCTAAGATGATAATAAGGATGATTTATTGAAGTCAAGACAAAATTTCTGCCCAAGGTGCTAAGTTCCTTTAGAGCACTTTGAGATTTGGGGACCTGACAAAAGTTTTATCAGGTGCACGCTGAGCACTCAGGGAAAGAGAATGGGGCTTGAGCTCCACGGAGGTGCAGTCAGAAGGCTCATGGTTCTTTTTTTTTTTTCTTTTTTAAACCAATGTTTTTTTAATATTCAAGAGGCTAGATGGAGGTAAGAACCATCTCGACCTCTAAGTTGGTGCCCATCTTTTTCATTTTATGGTCTCTCTGTACCTTGCTGTATCTAGCGTTGGTGAACACTGTCTAGCTTTCTTGAGATCAGGACTTTCTATCTGGAATAAATATGTTTCTTTTTCTTCAACAGTGAAATATTTCTCATTCGACTGTAGATTTTCAGGTTGCTTACAAAGGAAATCAAGAAAAGAGAGAGGAATAATAAAAATGCTATTCTTTTTAGCACTCATGGGCAGAGTGGTAAATCAGCTCTGACCCACCTCAGCTTTCTTCCTCGCCTCTGCTTTGTGGTCCGGTGTCTCCCTTCCAAGGCTGTGCACTTGGCCGGGCCTGCTGCTCTCTTCCTTCTGGTCAGGACGGTTGGGCCCTGTCAGCCTTGGTCTTCAGCGTCTGAAGGACACAGTGCCAGGCTGGAGAGCCCACGGGAGCCTGGCACATACCCACTGTTTATGTTTTCAGGGCTGGGCATTGAACCGTGGTCCTTGCACATGCTGAGCAAGCATTCTACTACTGAGCTTTGTCCCCTGCCGCCATAATTCTTAAAGCTTAGACACTTCTCGAGCCTCCGCACTCAGTTTGTCGGGAGTAGTTATAACTATCACTCAGCATCCTTGCTCAGAGCAGATCAGAGACAAAATATGCTAGGGTATAAGGAAGCATCTTTTTGCCTGGTCATTTAATGAACTAGAAGTTTTAGGTTTAGCATCGTATGTGTGTATATCTGTAAATCGTGTATGTGAAACCATTTGGTTCTCACTGGAATCCTATTGCCTTCACAGAAGTCTTACCAGATACTTTACCCAGATAGGGGCACAGTAGGGTGGGTTTTTCTTTTTTGAGGGTCTCAGAGCTTGTGGCAGCCAGAACTCAAGGGTTCTCACACCTTCAAGATGCCTGTCCATCATACAGACCATTCATAGGAGCTGACTTCACAAGCTTTGGGCATACGAAAATAAAAACTACAATAGTTTGAAAGAAATACTATGGGCATGCTGGCAATTTTGATTCTCTTTGGTCTTACCAGAGGGATGTAAACAAGGATCTCTTCCTATTGATAGTTTGAAAGTCCATTTGAAAGTAATTTTTCCCTTTACATTCCTACAATTAGTATAGTAACTGGAATGGTTGTTCTTTAATGGTTCATGTGTTCATTTAGCTGAAAGAGCTTGATTAAAACTTCTCAGTGAATATAAGGAGTTAAATAAATTACTTTTCAGAAATAAATGTTAAGGTTTGTTCCCAGAAGTCCTAAAACATTATATTCCCAGAGTCTGAGTTTTTCTTTGCAAAATGTTTTTAAATTTATTAGTGCTTTTCAGTAAACGACAGCCATTGGAGAATTGTGAGCCTAGCTGCTGTTTGCTTTTTTCTTCCTGCCAGTCATTTTCTGTCCCCTCAGTTTTTCTTTCCCTCACAGTTTCAACATTTAAGGGACAGCAGAATAACTGAAGTTCACTACATTTGCCTTGATCCAGACTTTCTCACGTGCATTAAATGCTTGAGTTTATAGAAAAATTATAATAAAGTAAAGCTACCAATTATATGTGAACTGCGCAGGATGAGAAAGGGCTTTGAAAGATAAGTTTTCAGTCCAGTAGATTAACGGAACAGTTATGGCCTGAGCATGGCTACTTCAGTCCCATTTCATCGCAGAAATGCCGCAGAGTGGCTGTGGGCTCACTTGCGTTTTGCAGATGCCAGTCATTGATGCTGCCGCTTTACCAACCCAAACAACACGGGTTTTCTCCTTGAGTAAGATGTACAGGTACAGATGTGGGCTTAACATCTTACGTGCTTTTTTTCGCCACTACTACAAGCTCTTCAGAGTGTTATTTTCTTAAATGCATGGCGAGGAGAGTCTCAGTGTATCTTATGAAAGCTCAAAAATAGCTGGTTTCTATGACAGCTTATGTGGGGGATGATGTCCTACTTAAACTTATGCAAAAATAGCTGTTAGAAATTGCTGCCTTTTAAACTAATTTGGACTTACATAAAAGGAAGCAGCGACAAAGTAAAGCAATTCATCCTTAATTTGAAAAGTAACTCTGTAAAGATATCCCATTACAAATAATACTGTAAAGAGATGTTGTTCGTGGTTATATTTATGAGGTAGTTGTTTAATCCTTCTTGTTTATTTCTTGCTCAATGCATGTGAATTCATTGCTCAGTCCTTCAGCTCTGTATCGTTCAAAGCCACTTGAGGATCCAGTCTTTCCCTTTTTTTTAATATGCATCTCATCTTACCCATCAACACTTCACTTCTTTGTGGTACTCTAGAATTTCCTCGTAGCTCATCAGGTTTAGAAAGTTCTTTTGCAATCTGACTCAGGTCTTGTTCTCCATATTGTGTCTTTCTGTGTGTAACTCCAGCTTCTGGCAGGGCTTCCTTGCAGGATTTATAGCATCTTGACATGTACCACATATCATACTTGGGCACCTTTTCATTACTCATAGATGCTACATTTATAAGCATTTTTGGGTTTTGTTTTGTTTCCTTCCTGACCATCTCAAGGATGGTCCTGTAACATAAAGAACTGAAGATACCATACATTTATAGATACTTTATACAGTAGGAAGAGTGGGTTGAATTTAATCTCTTGGAATCAGGACCTTATTTTATTTTATTTTTTAGAGTGAAGAGCCACTTTTCCAAGTTGGCATCCTGTGTAAATGGACTGAGTGAAGATGTATTTAGAATGTACCCATAAGTCTATCTTACACTTGGAAATGTGGAAGAACTTAAGGATACTTGTGATTTCTACACCTCACTGGTTTAAAGTTAGACACTGTAGAGAAATAAAAAGGGGGTCATGAGGAATTCTACTTCCTCTCTATATTAATTCCCTGTTCTACTTTTCCTGTAACAGTAGATTCACTCAGAGTAGCAGTGCCGTTTCTTTTGCCAGTGCTAGTCTAGCCCCAAATAATTTGAGGACCAATCATTTCTGATAATTTATACATCGCCACTAAAATCTCCAATTTTCCCTAATTTTTCATTGCAGGTTATATTATTCTCACTATCATTAAAATACTAAACACTTGGAAGACATTCTGGTAGATGTGTGTTTATTTTTATTTTTTATTTTTTGGTGGAACTGGGGATTGAACTCAGGCCATTGAGCTTGCCAGGGAAGCGCTTATTCTACTGAGCTATCTCCCCAGCCCCTAGATATATATTTAAAAAGTACTAAGATGAGATTATAGCTCTTATTGCAGTTAATAATTTTAGTTTGGCCTCTGAAACAATTTTTGTAGGCTTTATTTAGAATATATATATATATGTATATGTATATGTATAATTATTTTCTTCTTCATCAATTAGAAATGTTATGATTTTTTTGTATGCTCTTCTGGTATTTTTTAGATCAATATAGATTCTAAGAATATTATTTGCTTGTGTTTGTCAGTAAGTATTTTAGGGAAATGGTATTTTAAAAGTTATTTAAAATTGTTTCCTAAGAAAGAAGTGATTATGTTTGAATGCGTGTGTTCCAGTAACATCCTGTACAATATGGCTGTTTGCCTTTCTTGCTTTTAGGTGGGTTGGTCACTCCTATGCAGGTTAATAGAGGTCTGCCCAGGTACGATGCAAAGCTTGATGGGCCCGCAGGATATCGGGAATGACTGGGAAGTCCTCGGGGTACACCAGTGAGTATGGAAGACGAGTAGAAGCAAATTGCACTGAACATTCATGCACACACATGGCAGCCTTTCTCATTCTACATTCTGTTTCCAGCCCCGGTGAATTCTTTCCAAATACAGATATGTTTTTCCTTGGATCAGTAGTTTGCATTTGTAGGAAGGTATAAACTCAGAAGTTTGAACTAGAAAACTAACATTGGTGGTAAAATGTCAAGTGATATTACTTTAGTAATATAATCCAACAATTATATAATTGGTTAATTTGTAGTGACTTTTTTTTGGTACCTGGAACTGAACTCAGATCTAGTGCTTGCCAGGCAAGCACTTGTGCTGTTGAGCTATATCCCTGACACTTTGTTGATTTTTCATGACTGCTTAATGATTCAAACCAAGAAGAGCTTTTTAAAAAAGTTTCTTTTTCTTTTTCTTTCTTTTTTTTTGTACCAAGGACTGAACTCAGGACTTTGCGCTTGTCAAGCTTTTTTTTTTTTTTTTTTTTAAGTTCTAATGCTTTTTGCTTTTCAACAGTGGAACCAACACAAATTACTAGTTCTTGAAATGTAAGAACTGTAAATTTAATTCTATAAGTAGTAATTTAGAAGTTTATGGTTCACCGTCTTTAGTTGGTATGCTTATGTATATTCATACATGTGTATTTAGTGAGTTTACACTATGGCTTTCAAAAAGAAGAAAAACAGGAAAATTCCTTTTGGTACATGGGTAGCCAGAACTTGATAGCTATTTTGCTGGCTATGGCTTTTGTAATTTGCAGCATCATGGCTTTTTAAATGAAATAGCTTTTTATTTATAATTAGTTAAGAAAAAGTTTTCTGAGAAAAAAATGCGTTTCAAGGAAAGTCGTTTTTATAATTTAATCCTTTGACACTGAAGAAGTATCTCTTGCCATTAACTTTAATTTTATTCAGTCAGTAGTATCACTTTACTACAGAGAATGCAACTTTGAATTTTGCTTCTAATGGCATATTGCTTGAGAAAAAAACAATTGATGCAAAACTGACTTTTATGTCTTTGTGTTTTCTCTTAGTATCAAAAAAGCAGAGCTATGTATATTTTATACATGGACATTAAGATGTGAATAGAGTCATTTTGGCATCTTTAATTTTGGTTTGTTCTCTAAAACTACCTATCAGGGCCCGGGGAAGTAGCTCAGTGGTTTACACATCTGCCTGGCAAGCACAAGGTCCTTAGTTTGATCCCAGTACCAAAAAAAAAAAAAAA